CTATCAACTCATTTCTGTCATGTCAAAACCGACTAATAACATTTGACTACTCATGATTACAGCAGTTTTTCATAAGCTGTAAATTATATAGGAAGAGATTCCCCTTCTTTCTCTTGGGAGTAGTTGGTGGATTCAGAGCACATGTCTTTGGACTGTCAGTGCAGCATCTTCCCCTTAGACCACCAGGGCTATATACTTAATTAATTTTAAAATAATTGAGAAAATCCCATCATTTTCCAGCTTTAGACTGTGAATGAGAATCAACTCTGTGGTTTTTGCGCTACCATATAATTGCACTTCCTGGATTTCATCAACAATAGAAGAAGCAGGAATATATAATTACTTTCATCTTTGGTACACCTAACTGCTAATAATTAAACTAAGACTGTGACAGGTATAGGTACAATTAGACTATAATTTGAGCACTAAAGTACTCAAGGAATTTTTTTATCATTGATATCTACATAGATAATTTAAGTTTTCATTTTATTATCAATTTTGTTGGCAGAAGATGTTTCGAATATTTTCATATTTCTGTATTACAAATGACACAAGCCCTTTTCACCGATCATTATGACTCATTTGGTTCATGACTATCTGGTAAAAAACCGAAAGAGTACCTGGTAAGACACTTTTTCTAAGAAAAAGATCATTCATATGTTAAAAGCAGCATGGTGTTTTAATTCTTTCAGATAATCTAAGCTAGTCACATATTTTAATTCTTTATTTTCAAATTTCTTTAAAAACATTCTGATTTATCCAAGTGAGCAAATATTTTTTACTAAGATCATTGCATGGCTGTAATTTCCACTTAGCAATAATTAATATGGATTGCAATCAGTCATAAAATATAACAGAGAAGGAATCTTTTCCTTTCTGGGCTTGTTATAAATTGTTAGAACTTTGAAGATGCATAGTCTTTATTAAAACCCAGTAAACAGTAAAACGTTTCATTTAACCTACCTGTATAGTTAGATCTGCTGAGATTCCCTCCTAAGTTTGCCCCACCACGCATGCTGGAGTGTTTTACAAGTGCCTGAAAGTCCCTGAAGACCCTCAGACTGGTATGTTTTAGGTTCTAAATCCCTGAACGTGAGGGCTAGTTTTCCCAGATAAAGGTCTGATTCCTCAGGGAAAGAAAGACAAATTGAATGTTCATTAGGCAAGACTCTCCTCAAAATTTCACCCACAAAGTCAAAATGTGCAGATAATGTTGGGATTTGATTAAATGATGGCAGTGAATAATAATAATTATTCTATAATGCTATTTTAACTTTGATTAAAAAAAACTGAGGAAGCATGAATTTCATTCTCTAAAATAAATTGTCCTTTTTTAGTGCAGAGGACATTTCCTTTTTAACTGTGATGCCTAGGAGAAAGTATAACTAGGCTATTCTTTTTTTAAATTTTATTATTATTATTATTACTATTATTATTATTTTCAATGAACATCTACTGAGATTTTGGA